TGTTTGTATACACGTCGTTTTGGAAGGTACGTTTGTTTGGTTCAAGTAGGTGTTTATTTAAAGTACGGTGCGATCCGTTTTGATCCACAGCTTTATTTTGATTACCCGAAGTGTTTGAGTTTGTTTCTGCCTGTCTTTAAATAAAGACGTTATTTAATTGAAATCTCTGCGCCTGTGTCCTGCTACCTACGTCTGAGCCCATTTGTGACATCTACACAACACTCTTTAAATGCCAGGCTTTTGTGATGTAAAAAAATTAGTCAAAGATAAATAACTTTTTCCACAACGAAATGTGGGAATATGTTATGGTCTGATGAAACCAAGGTTGAACTTTTTGACAATAACTCCAAAAGGTATGTTTGGGGCAAAAACAACACAGCACATCACCCAAAGAAGACCACACCCACAGTGAAGCATGGTGGTGGCAACATCATGCTTAGGGGCTGTTTTTCTTCACCTGGAATCGAGGCATATGTAACCAGGTAATTGTAAGGTTTTCATTTTCCCTCCTCAAAATTAAATATTATTGACCGATGTGTAACGCTGCCACACATTTTTTAAACTTCTAACTCTTAAGTTATGTACGTATAGTCTTTTTTGTTAACCAAGTTGTGTCCTGTCAAATCAATATTATCTGTCGTGCATGCTACTGTTTTGTTTATTTAAAACCCATCTGCCTGTATCTGTTTCTGTCTCCCTCATCTTTGTATGTTACATTTCCACTACGATCATCAGCTGATAACATAACAACAGACTTTCACTGTGATCCACCACTGCAGCAAACTTTGTTCTAACCAGATAATTTGATGATGAGCCAGATACAATGAGGGGAGTTGTGTATAGCAAAAACACAATGTAATATGTAATTCAAAGAACAGAATTGTAACATTTTATAGTTATAAAAAACTATTAGTAACATCTGAAAACACAAGACTTCTCAACACTCAATCAGACTGGTTTTCGACAAGGGAGTTTTCACTGTGTCAAGGGAAATTATGTTTGGCTCTGGGACAAGACTTTATGTGACAGGTAAGAAATCTTTCTCAAATTTCTGGAAGATCAAGTAATAGTTTTATTAGTAATTATTTTTGAATAATCTCTCTAATCTGATTCACAACTAATTGCAAAATCAATTTGTCTAACAAAGATGCCCTCTGTGTGATCATAGCCTGTGCAACTAATAATTCAAATTCAATTAAATGTGTCTGGAGATATTTTGGAAGTTAAGAGCAATGTCAGCGACCTGAAGGACTTACTGGGATTGTATATATGTCTGGAAGGTTACAACTCAACTTGAGTTCCTCATAAAAATATTAAATTACATTGAAATAAGAATATCAATATAGAAAGGGTGATATTTAAAAAATATGCATGAGCTGATACATATTTGATTTCTGTAATTGTTACATTTATATTGACATAAGAGAGTTGCATAACAATGCTATGGCACCGCACAATGTTTGTTAAGTTGTCAATATTGTTGGTGATGGTTGATATCGTTTTTTATTAATTTACCAATTTACTTTATTAAACAGTAAATTCAATGGGTATTAAACACTTCTTTATTGTAATTTTTTCTTCTATAAAACAGACCAGAAAGTTCAGAAACCCAGAGTGACCATCTACCCAGCATCTACTCCCGAGCCAAATGGGAAAATCACTCTGCTATGTCTGGCCAGAGACATGATTCCAGACTTAGTTAAGATCTCATGGAAGATGATGGGTCAAAATGGCACAGCATTGGTGGTGCCTCAAGAAGAAGGAGACGTTCTGGAACAGACGGGTGAAGGACAGACGACCAGTATGATTATTATTGATAAAGAGAAAGCAGATGTTAATAAATACATCTGTTCTGTGAAGCATGAAGGATGCAATAATAAACCTGACACAGGTACACAATTATGGAATATTTAACTGTTTGCTGGTATTTGTCTCATCTAAATATACATCCTAAAGTATTGTAACTGTCCCTCTCATCCAGTTTAATTATTACATTTTACATATTTATGGCATTTTGATAAAGCCATTATTCTTTAGTTACTACGAAGCAAAAATGTGATTTGAAGTTTTACACGTCGCCCTGTAAACATTTTTCTTTCAGTAAAAACAGCAATAGAAAGCTGTTCAACATAATATAATGCCCAATCACTCTTTCCCAACCATAGCATTCAGCCAACACCAATCTTCTATTCATCTAAGCTTTATTTAGGCTATATTCCTTTCAGCCTCATTTGTATCAATGCACAGAACAGAAATTTAAGATGGAAAAACCCGTCAAAAACCGACCTCAAATGTGTATTTCTGACAGCTTATTAAATATTAAGTATTAAATCCTTATTATAATTATTAATGTGACTTTTAATAGACTGCCCTGTTCACATGGTGTCACATATCTTGCCAGGAGTAATAGAGCTGGGAGGATTGTCAGAAACTGTCAGAAACTGACTGAGAAATTTAGACAGAACTGAATTGTTGAAAGTGTTCGATTTGCACAATAGCAGTTAAACTGGTTTGGATTCTTTTGTATGGAAATATTTGAGCTTATTTAGATGTGCCTCCGCAAGGTATTTGAAAAGATATACAATAAATACTTTTTCATTTAACAATTTCTCTTCCCCAGAATCCTTCCAGTCCATGACTAGTCTGAACCTGTCCTCTCTGACTTATACAGTGATGATAGTGAAGAGTCTGGTGTACTGCTGTGGACTCACTATCCTGATTCAACTTAGGAACACGGGACCCAGTTTCCTCACATTAATTTACAACTACTGGACACAGACGTCTGTCTGAGTAGTCAGTTGCCAAGTGAAATCAAGAACAATATGAACCATGTCAATAGATTTACAATAAAACCCTTTTATATTTTGATTTAAATGTCAAGACAATATTTTTTTTAAACGTATCTATAATCCTTTGCACTGAGTTGTAGTGAGGTTAGAATAAAATCCCACTAAAGTTGTAACCAACATTTCTAGTGTATTTCTTTTTCATGCTAAGACTATTTTAGCCAAGATTTGTCAACAAATGTAATCGTATAGATAATTACGGTATACTTAATTTGTGTGATTAGTGAAATTATTGTGAAAGCTACCCACTGGCTATAGAGAGGTTGAAATGTTTTTACCAATAAGGAAAGTAAATCTAGGAAGCAGATTATTTTTACAATATCTGTAATTATGTAATTAATAATTTTGTTTACAAAATCTGTACTTGATTTCTTTAAATATAAATCAGAATCAGGTTTATTCACCAAGTCTGTTTACACAAACAAGAATTTGGTCTGACCCCTTGCTGCAACATTTAGAACACACATTTGAAAACATATACGATCAGTGCAAACAGTGCAAAAAATCTGATTAGTGTTTCTTTAAATTTAAAGTAAGCTATTTGTAAAAGTGTCTACTAAATAATAAAATGAAAATATTCCATGTTCCAATCATTATTGTTTAGCTTTTTTCCGGGTGTTCTGTACATTATAATGGTTAGTAGTTTATTGATAAAAAAGAGTCATTTATTTCTTATTTACAGTACAAAAATAGGTTCAAATAGTATTGTAAAGATTATATAGTGCTATGTAAAAAAATTCGACCATAATAAAAATCAAACGCTATTAAAAGTTTTTTTATTGAGAGAAGTTTTATTTCCAGGTCACCTATTTAAACTTTCCTTTTTGCTTTTAGCTAAATAAAGGTAAGTAAAAAATAGCTGCATTTTCCGAAGCAGGTGTTGTGCTACACATCTTCCACCCACATTGTGGTTAAATGTGGTTTATCTGTTTATTTGGTTTTCTTATGAAAACATAGGCTATTACTTACTGGAAACATGATATATATGTTATGAGTTGGTTATTCAATGCGGCCGGATATTTACTTGTTTCTTTTACCCTTTTGTTCTCTATTTGCTGATATCTTCCCACCAAAGTTTTGAAAATGCCAGTTAGATGGTAGTATTGCTGTAGCTTGTAGTTCTGGCATATCTTGGCCAGGTAAAAAAACATTCATCTTTTCATAAGCGTTTGACTACGCGCTTAAACTGTACCACACCGTTAGGTCATTTTTATTTAATTATTACACTATTTGTTATCTTCTATTCCACATCGAATTGACTATTTTATGTTTTTATGTTTTTTTCTAATACATTGCAGAAATGAAAATCTGTAATGGGAAATACACACAGTTACATATTGAGATGTAATGTGTGAATGGTACATGATTACATGTTGAGAGAAAATAATACCCTGGGCCAAGAAGCCAGTAAACAGGTTGCTCTGAATGTTAAACACATGTATTTTATTATTTCCTCTTTTCCTTTGTAAAGCACATTGAATTGCTTCTATGCATGAATTGTGCTATATAAATAAACTTGCTTGCTAGAATATAGAAAATATATATTAAAGTGAGGCCAAAATTCTACCCTAGACATCGTAGACTATTGTAATTTATAAAAATGCATTTTATGAGTTGAATTCAAATGGAAGTCCACAACACCAGCCTAAGACTTCCAAAACGGACTTGTTGACTTGTGGGATTGTTTGAGACCAGCTAAACAGATAGCTGAAAAATCTGTTTGCCCAATCAAATAATTTCTGAACGGTGAGAATAACATTTCAAGATGCGTGCTGGTATCTTAAACAACTGCATTTGGGCGTCAAAACCAACTTCAGTAGGCAGATTCTCACCTTCGATGGCCACCATCTTGCTGGAATACTCTGCTCCTCACAGATGAATGCTTGAAAGTGTCACATCGTGTGCTGATATATTATTATTCAGTGTACTAAAAATGTAAAGTACGTCTGGCCAGGTGCAACGTTCACTACAAAGCATCAGCCTCTTCAAAAATGTCAGATGATCAAACAATGCAACATTGTCCCGTCATTTTAATGGTGGTATTACCTTCCTGTTATGAGTTGAAAGGGCGGCCATGTGGCAAATGTCTGTCCTTAAAATCCATACATTGTTTTATTTATTTTTTTAATTTAACCTGGTTTTCATTTGCACCTGGGGAGCAGCTGGGATTTGAACCCAGGACAACACACACATGAAGCATGCACTACCACTCTACCACTCTCTACCACTGAGCTACCAACTGCTTAATTTGATTAGTAAAGGAATGCTGGACATGCTCTTATAACAGATTATTCTGATCATGTTACAATAAAAAAGCAACAATAACAATTATAATAACCATATAAAAATCTAGTGTTGGTTTTGCAGCTCCTCCCATTTTCAGTGGTACTGTATATAGAATTAGTAGCGTTGATGTCATTGATTACCCACATCTTCACTGAACATGGACTGTGGTATAATTATATGCTCTCTTTTTCTGGGTAAGTGCTTCATTTAGCTCTTATCCAATATTAAAATTGTATAATTCTACTGTGAGTTTGATCCATTTCTGTTTTCAGTGTCTGTTTCAGGGCGCGATATGTACCAGGGCCGGATATCAGAGACAAAAGAAAAAGGAAAGAGTGTCTCCTTTAACTGCAAAAGTACTGGTCGGTGTGTCAGAAACACTGTCCACTGGTACCAGAAGAAAGAGGGTGAACCGTTCTCTTGGATCATATGCACTGATGGTGAAATGGTCATGTTTGATAAAACATTTCCACACATTGCAGATTTCTCTGCTACAATACATTCTGATTCCTGTGAGCTTACAATTCAGTCAGTTAAAGAGTCCCATTCTGCCACTTACTACTGTGCCTGTTATCAAAGCTCTGGAACCCACAGTGTGAAGTGAAACACACAGCCTGTACTAAAACTGTGTTTCAGTCAAGATGTGAATTCATCAAAAGAAAAAGTTGACAACAAGACATGACATTATATGAAGAATTCTTGAGAATATGTTTCTGTACTACTGGCTTTATAATACTGAATTATACAATTATAAAAGCTGAATTATAAAAACATTACGCCAGAATTGATGTTTTACCTGTCGTCTTCATAAACACTGGAGAAAAACCAATTTTAACTGATCATTTCTTACTTACATTTTTATGGTTCTGTGTTAAAGTGTTTTAACCAAGTCTTAACACAGTGCAATTTCCTTACCGGTACATGACTGTTCAATAATAGCTGTATTTATAAACTTATATCAATAGTAACCCTTTAAGCATACAGGCTCCAAAAAGTATGCACCTCACATTATATAGCAAAGAAGTTCCGTAGATGAAAAATAAATTCAACAAATTGTTCTATATTCATTACAGTTACGAAACAGAAAATACTTGAAAATGATTGCCAATTGCCATTTTTTGGTAGATGCTCCTTTGGCAGCAATTACAGTCATCGGTCTTGGATTTGGAAGTCTCTAACAGCATTGCACATCTGCACACATACATTGTTGTCCATTCTTTGCAAAATTGCCTAAATAAGTCACAGTAAACATACAGTTAGGTCCGGAAATAATTGACTGAAATTTTGTTAATTCGGCTGTTTACCGAAACACATTCAAGTTACACTAATGAAAATGGGCTTAAAGTGCAATCTCCGCATCAATAGTGTCGAAAATGAAGAAAGTGTCTAGGAATTGCAGCTCTTTAAAATGTTGCCCCGTCTTTTTTAAGGAACCAAAAGTAATTGACTCAACAGCTGTTTCATGGACTGTTTCGTCACTTCATCATCAATTACGCAGGTTAAAGGTCTGAGGTTGATTCTATGTGTAGCATCGCATTTGGAAGCTGTCGCTGTGAACCCACAACCTGTTGTCAAAGGGGCTCTAAATGCAAGTGAACCGGTCATCCATAGGCTGCCAACAAATCCATCAGAGGGATAAGGGAACAATAGGAGTGGCCAAATAAATGCACTGTTGAGCTCTACAGCACAAAAAGGCCTGGACATCCACAGAAACTACAGTGGTGGACGATTATAGGGTGAATATAACCAGACTGCAGCTGTAGTAAAGGCCTGGACATCCACAGAAACTACAGTGGTGGACGATCATAGGGTGAATATAACCAGACTGCAGCTGTAGTAAAGGCCTGAAACTACAGTGGTGGACATTATAGGGTGAATATAACCAGACAGAAACTACAGTGGTGGACGATTATAGGGTGAATATAACCAGACTGCAGCTGTAGTAAAGGCCTGGACATCCACAGAAACTACAGTGGTGGACGATTATAGGGTGAATATAACCAGACTGCAGCTGTAGTAAAGGCCTGGCTAATCAGCACAACGGAGGCCATTGGTGGTGGCTGATGTCCATGCGTTCCAGACTTCAAACAGTCATTGCCTGCATTGGATTCTCGACAAAAAATCTATATTTTATTAATGATTGTGTTAATTTCTCCATTTAAATGTTAGACCCTAAAATAGGGAGACTGGGTTCAAAGATATTTGCAATTACTGAACATTTCATAATCCATTGTGGTGTCGTACAGAGACAACATTATGTTTTTCTCAGACATTATGTTTTTTCTCAGAACTGTAATTAGCCTGGTGCACCACCTGTCCCCCTCAGGTGCACCATCTCACCGGCATTCTGGTTGTCATCAATCTGTCAAGATCCTGAAGTTTGACGACACCACCCTCATTGGGCTTATCTCCAGTGGAGATGGTTGTGGACTTCGGGAGGAACTCAGCCCCACTCTCCACCATCACCCTGTGTGGCTCTCCTGTCAACACTGTAGAGTCCTTCCGATTCCTGGTACTATCCTCTCTCAGGACCTCAAGTGGTGGGACTTAAACATGCACACAAGCCTTGAACTCTTACCCATTCCATTTGCACATTGCCTGATTTTGCACTACAATATTTACAATATTTGCACTATTGCACTACGTTACTTATCAGTATTCTGTACAGTATTTTGCATATTACTGCCCCTATACCCCTCATCCTTTAGTATAACTTATATTGTTATATTCTTATATTGTATGTAAGCACCTTCCTGCCAAAGTCAATAACTTGTATTTTCATACATTCATGGCGAATAAACACTTTTCTGATTCTGATTAATCACCAAATCTGTTTGTAAGTCGTGCACTGTCGACTGTTCAGTGTTTTTAAATCCCATCTGTCTGCCACTGTTTCTGTCTCCCTCATTTTGTATGTTACTACAACCATCTGTTACCATAACAACAGACTTTCACTGTGATCCACCGCTGCAGCAAACTTTGTTCTAACCAGAGAACTTGACGATGGGCCAGATACAATGAGGGCGTTGTGTATAACAATATCAACATGAGATATGTAATTTATCGAAAACTACTAAATAGTATCGTCCTATAGCTCGAAGAATCTGGTAGTAGACCACACAAGAACAATAAACACAAAATCAAACTGGTTTTTGGCATGGGAGTTTTCACTGTGTTTAATAAAGAAATTTGGCACTGGGACAAGACTTTTTGTAACAGGTAAGAATTCTCAGATTTTTGCCAAGCAACAGCTAAATTAATAATATTAAAAGAAATCTCTGGTCTGGCACCCAATTTATTGAAGAATCAGGAATGTTTAACAGAGATACACTCTGTGTGATCATAGCCTGTAAAACGGATTATTCAAATTCAATAAAAGTGTTTTTGTTTATTATGTGATAACAATTTAAACAAAATTTATATATGCTAATATTCCAACTCAACTTTAGCTCCTCGCAAATATGAGTAAATTATATTGAAATAAAATAGTTGATATAGGATTATTGTAATTACACAAATATGTATGCACACATATGTACTTTAATAATTTCTCTTTATATTGCCGAAATATATTTAGGTGTAAAACAAATGCAATTCATAATTTCATATTTAGTTAAAAGAATTTGTATTAATGGTTGATATAATTTTTATTAAACTGTGTATTTTCTTTATTAGATAGTAAAGCTGGGTATAAGAAAATGCTTATGAATTGCTATTTTATCAGACCAGAAAATCCAGGAACCCAAACTGACGGTCTACCCAGCATCGACTACTGAGCCACATGGAAAAACCACCCTGCTGTGTCTGGCTAGAGACATGATTCCAGACTTAGTTAAGATCTCATGGAAGATGGAGGATGGAAGTGGCCAAATAGTGGATGTACCCCAAGAAGAGGGAGAAGTTCTGGAACAGATGGGTGAAGGACAGACGACCAGTATGATTATTATTGATAAAGAGAAAGCAGATGTTAATAAATACATCTGTTCTGTGAAGCATGAAGGATGCAATAAACCTGACACAGGTACACAATTATGGAATATTTAACTGTTTGCTGGTATTTGTCTCATCTAAATATACATCCTAAAGTATTGTAACTGTCGCTCTCATCCAGTTTAATTATAACATGTTACATATTTATGACATTTTGATAAAGCCCTGCCCTCTTAAGACTTCATGTTTATCCTTCAGGTACTGCAAAGCAACAATGTGATTTGAAGTTATAACAGCTAGCTTAGTGATCACTCTTTCCCAACCATATTCAGCCAACACCAATCTTCTATTCATCTAAGCTCTATTTAGGCTATATTCCTCTCAGCCTCATTTGTATCTATGCACAGAACAGAAATTGATTGAGCAGAAACCCATTAAAAAAAACAGCTCAAATGTGTATTTCTAACAGACTATTTGTGCAGTTACTTCAAATAAGACATTTCAGCCTGTCTTATTCCCTATGAAATACTTAATTATATATTTTAAGACTGCCCTGTTCACATGGTGTCACAAGTTTTGCAAGGAGGAATAGAGCTGGGAGGACGTTCCATTGTAAGAAACTGACTGAGCAATTTAGACAGAACAATACTGTTGAAAGTTTCAGATTTGCACAAAAGCAGTGTGAAAACATTAACATATTGGAGCTTATTTAAATGTGCGATGGCTTCTTCATTTTGCAAATTTTCTTCCCCAGAATCCGTCCACACCAGTCTGAACCTGGCCTCTCTGACTTATACAGTGATGATAGTGAAGACTCTGGTGTACTGCTGTGGACTCACAATCCTGATTCAACTTAGGAACACGAGAAGTCTGTCTGAGTTGTCAGCCAATTCCAAGTGAAATCAAGCACAATTTGAACCATGTCAATATTTAAAATACTCCCAAAAAATGCATTGGGATTTAAATTTATTTTTTTAAACAACAGGATATGTCTATAATCCTTTT